ATTCTTCCCAAACACTTCCCAAAAATCCAAGTAAAGACAAAGCTGTCAATCTTAAGAGACCGTTAAATAATTCAAGCGATCTTTCCACAGACGACGATACACTCCCTGACGGTTTTACCAAGGTTAAGCCCCGTAAAACGCGACGAAACGACAGGCTTTCCTCCTCTCCCTCCACCAAAATCGCAGTCTGAAACGTCTCATTCAACTGCAAGCGAATCGAATAAACAGCCTGTGCCTAATCTATCGGTTACTTCCACCCCTTCGACATCTCAGGTACCAGAAGACACGACCGCACAGCCGCCACGCAAGTTTATTTCTTTGGGCATCAAATTCGAACGCGCGGTTGCCGTCGATGCAGGAATCAGGATAATTCACCAAGTCCGGTGATCATTACCGCAGGATTATTCGTCTCTTCAGGGAGGAAGAGGTGCCCCATCACACTTTCCCTCTACCCTCCGAGAGGAACATTCGTGCTGTAATCAGAGGAGTACATGCGACACTTTCGGAAATTGAGATCAAGGAAGAGTTGCAACAGAGGGGATATTCCCCCCTGCACATAATTCGCCTGAAACGCGGTGGCGGCGTGCCCATGCCTTTTGGTGGTAGTCATACTGCCCAAGATAGAAAAATCTCAGCAGCTGTTCAACGAACACGAGCGCTAGGTTTGGCTATCCGAGTCGAAGTTCAAAAGAACTCAAGACTCATCGGGCAGTGTCACCGCTGCCAAAAATATGGGCATGCGCAATCTTACTACACTGCACCACCTAAATGTCTAAAATGTGCTTCTGGCCACATGACCCACTTATGCCCTCAAACAGAACAAGAGGAACGAAAGTGCGCGAACTGTGGAGGCGGGCATCCAGCGAATAGCCGAACTTGCAGATTTGCCCATAAGAAAAATCTGCAAGTGATAGCGCTAAGGCGCAATGTAAGTTACGCGGATGCAGCTAGGGATGCAACCCGGGCTGCCCCCTCTGTGGGATTTTCTGCGAACACGCAAAATGTGGACCTGGCAACCGCGCTAAGGTCCTTACAGCAGATCATAGGTCCTCTGATTAGCGCAACACAGGCGTTGCAGGCGATCTTTCCTGCAAATGGCTAGGTACAATCGACGACAGCCTGCATTTATCAAAATTCTTTTTTGGAATTGTTTGGGTCTAAAGGACATTCATCAAGCTCTTGTGGACGAAAGTATAGATGTGGCCTTGCTGCAGGAAACATTACTTAATCCGGGAGATCGTCTAGCTTTCCCGAATTACGATGTTATCCGGGCTGATAGATTGACTGGACGGGGTGGCGGCTTGGCAGTGCTAGTGAAACGCGGTATTGACTACCACAGAAGCACAAACGCTGACATGCAGAGCATCGAAGCGGCTTCCGAGGTGGTCAATATGACAGGAGGTGTGCCGTTAAAAATCACATCGGTGTATGTCAGGTGTGGTAACAGGCTGCAAGAGGCGGATCTGGAAGTCCTTTTAGACTGCTCGGGTCCACTTATTGTGGCAGCGGACTTCAACTGCAAACATCGAGCATGGCATTCCAGGTTGAATTCCACCAGTGCGATCCGACTGTACAACCATGTGATACGAAATGGCTACCTCATACATAGTACTGAGGAGCCGACGCACCACCCATTTAATCACCTTCAGGCTCCTGATGTTCTTGATTTGGCATTATCCAAAAACTGTAGCTACAGTATCACTTCTCGAATCATGTATGACATCTCAAGCGATCATCTTCCCGTCGTTTTGGAAGTGGCTAATGAGTAGGTCTTGGGGGATGAAATCCCTCCAAGGAAACGCATTGATTGGGAGCTATACAAGTCGCTCCTCAAATAGTTCCCCGATATACCGATCATAGATGATGAGAACGGTATAGATGCGGCTCAAGCAGAGTGGACAAGTTATGTTCAGCAAACTCTGCAGCGTGCAGCTGTACTTCCCGTGCAGCGACACGGCAGACCTTTTCTGCCAAAAGACATTCGTCAGAAAATTTCTGATAAAAGAGCTGCAATTAAGCAAGCGAAAAGGTCTTGTCATCCTGATGACATTCGCAGAGCGACGAATCTTGTTCATGAAGTAAGAAATGCTCTTCATGAATTCCGCAATGAGCAATGGAACGACTTTCTGGCGGGGATGCTTGACTCAAGCATTCCTCTCTGGAAGGTGGCGAAGTCGCTCAAAAACGGAAAGCGTGAACAAATCCCACACATTCACGGTCCTGGAGGCATTGTCTTCAGGACAGAGGAGAAGGTTGAGGTTTTCGCCGATGCCATGGAAAGACAGTTCTCTCCCAACTATGATCTTGATAATGACCTCGACGAGGAGCAACACATCGTAAGATCTGTCAGGAGATATTTTAGGGCCAACGGCGTCAGTGACAGTCGCGCATTCGTTGGTGATTTTTCTTCATCAGAAGATTCTTCTTCAGAAGCTTCTTCAACCGAAGATTTGCTTAGCACATCAGCGGTATCTCCTGAGATCCCGCATTGCACACCAGCAGAGATTCAAGGTCATATTAAAGACCTTAAAGTGCGTAAAGCACCTGGGGAGGATCAAATCACTAATAAGGCGCTGAAGCTCCGAACAATGACTGAAAATGAGCAGAAATCTCTGAACCTTTGTAACACTATGTTCCCGCCGCCTGTGAATCGATATTCAAAATTTACCTATACGATGAAACTATTAAATTCGCGATAATATTCGATGTTCAGTTCACAAGTTTTCTGTTGCTTCACACAAGTCCGTGTTTCTCATTTATGTTGGTTTGTCAGTTCGTGTTTGTTATAGATATGATAAATTGATAACTTTGAAAAAGACTTTTTAAAAACTTTATTCGTGGACTGTAATTCAGTCCGTTACAAATCACAAGTTACAAAGATTACAAGTGCCTATAACGGAGTCTAACCAGGTATCTAATGAACACGAAATTTACATAAGTGACTGCTACGGTGTCTAGCCGGATATCTAATGAACGCTCTTCAAATGTCGGCAAACCTATTTATACAAGTTAGGCTGCTGACTAAGGATCAGCAGAAATAGACAATGGACAATGGACAAACAATAGATCCATAGAAAATAGAGACACGAGGCAAACAATTGATTAGCGAGAAGTTGTTGTCTTATGCTGACGCAGCGTCCAGTGCAACAATGTAGGCTTACTTAATAACTGCGTAGTTACTAAGGGCATATAACAGGTATAACAATGCGTCATAAGTACTACTTACTTGACGAAATATTCAGAGAACCGGAGTAGCACAAATTAAAGCGACGTGGGTGGTACATTTAAGTACTATATCATAGAATTCAGAAAAATGTATGTTTAGATATAAAAACAGTAAAGTCATTCACAAAAGCATCGCAGAACGCTAAAGTGGTACGTACTCCTAATATCCATACATTGCTAAAATATATAAATATTCTCCTGTAGTGGTGTGTCAGTGACGACATGCCCGCAGATTCACCAGTTGGAGTTTTATTACTCATTGCACAGTCGGCGGTTGCCTCCACGACGATGCAGCGTCGCAGTATAGCCCGTGCACGCAATGTCAATGATTGCGAGTCCGAATTATGAGCATATTATACTCGTACACGGACTTTTTTCATTCAATTTTCCCGTTGCTTCCGAAATCAGAAGCTTCTTAAAGATATAACGTCTTTGACTAGTACTAGAGACGTAACATTTACAACCCCCACCCCCTACAACAAGCTCCAACCCCCAAGTTTCAACCCCCCAAAAAATTTGCCGGAAATAATCGGGAGCCAAACGAAGCTTGAGCGTATTTATTTTTTTGTGCTTTTTGTGTAGTAACCTTGTGTCAAAGTTTTATCAAAATCACGGCGGTACCCAGCCAGCACGGTGTAGTGGAATCGACGTAGATATTTGGTGATTTTGCTCGAAGTTGAAATTTAGGGAAAATTCTACGTTTATTCGACGTCAGTTATGGATCAAATTTCGCTTAAACTTGTCCGATATAACCACACCACGTCGATAAAACGTGAATATTACGACGTGTGTACAACTCTGTACCAATTTACACTGCCGCGAATAAAACCCGGTTATGTTGCAGTCACTTAACCGATTAATTAAGGTAGACGTACTAGTTTGTTATAATTTTCTTCCATATTCTTATAATATAATCGATAAAACGTGGAAATCCGGTGTGGCACGTCACTGGTCGACGAGGGACGTTTTATCTACGTGAAACAGTGATCGCAAATACCTGTGTTGGTTATTTATACACGTGGACAAGACGTGGATGCGACGTGGCATTTTATCATAAATTTAAATTGTAATCTTCCAAATAGAGAATGTCCGAATGATGATGATAAGTGTTTGGGTGATGTAATTTATTTGTAGATACATCCTGGTCCCAAAAATATACAAGCGCATATCGAACCTAAAATGCTTTGCGAGCTTTGTTATAAATAATAATTCCGTGTAAACATATGTATTAGTCATTTTTAAGTGAAAATCATCGACCACCTTATTGAAATAATAAAATATGAAAGTGTGATTGAGAATTAATTCTAATATCGATGTTTCCCCACTTCATGAAAAATAAATTTTAAATGTCGCGCCTTGAAAGGGGAAGCGACAATGATAAAGAGTGTCATAGCTGCATTGCCAGATTGCAGAATTTTCGTCACAATCACCGGTATTAGCTCCCAAGATTTTTACATACTGATATATCATAACATTTGGGACATTGAACAAGCAGCATTAGGCAACCATGTTTTTGAACAGTTATCCGATCCAATCAAAGCTATTCCCACGCTCCCCATCCCGAACCTCATGTTGTTTCTTACGTCGCATTCTTCATCCTGCATCAATTTTGCATTTTGCGAAATGTGCACGTATCTTTATCTTCCTGTACATTCTAAAGTTAAGTGTGTTGACAAAAGCCATACTGTATTCCTGCTGATCCTTTAATCAAGAACAGCGTCGTGACAGTATCTATGCCTTTGTATGAGCCATAGGCATAGGAATCGAGTTTTCAGATGAAATTGTTGGTGGTGCTGGGGGCAATATTGCCATAGTGCATGAAAAGTGGCTGACGCCGAGAGAGAAACGGGTGTGGTGACCACCACCCACCATATAAGCAGCAAGTGAGGACAAGGAACAAGTACCGTATAAGCAGTACGATATCGGAAGGGTGTTTTTTGAGGACGGTAGGTATATTCTTCAAGCTTTACCTATAATTAAGGGCCGTATCGCTATCGTCAGTCGTCCCAACAATTATTGTAGGACGCCTTTATGGCCTCGTTGAATTTCACAGTTTTCTACTGTTCCGTTTTACCGCTCGATTTTGAGTTTATGTTACAAATATCTATTCACACCAAAATGTTCATACTTTTGATTTATATCTATTTTATCAGCCTGAAATTTCCTACTATTCAAGAAGAAAACATAACTTCACAACCGAAGCCTTTTGAAGAGGAAAAAAATACTATGAAAATCAAGGAAGCCATAAAGGCATCCTTCAATTGTAAGAATGACTGACAATACGGCCCTGAAATGTATTTAATTACATCAAGTCTCTCTATGACAGTCATCAAGGAACAGCATCAATTCAATTTGAATATTTTTCAAATAATGCAGCTGCTAATTAAACTGCAAAAATTCATTACCCGCAAGACTTTTTTATTACAAAGTGAGACTTTATGTTTGTAGAGTACAGCATTTTTATACTGAATAGCAGTAGCCATGGGATTTGATACATTTCATTAGGACTTTAGTTGGTTATATGACCAAATTAGGAAAATATTATTTTCTTTTTCAGATCTTTTCGAATTTAGGGGGACGTGATATTACCAATAGAACAAATATAATTTTGAGGCGCCTAATATCTAATAATTTGGCAGTTAGCTACAATTATTTGGGAACTAGATAAGAGAAGAAGGCGTTCAAAACTTCATTTCTCAACAAGGTAGTAATAAGTGAGTACTAACAGATCTTTATAGGTTTCCAAACAGTTTCAGACCTATAATTGCTTACAAATTTGGTTTTTTTTTTATCTGATGTAACATACACGACTTGATGTACAACTATATTTAAAAATCCCTTTTCATGTGACAGCTTTATATATATAGGTAAACAAGTAAAGAAGTATTTACTAATACAAAACTAAAACATAGAATGTTCTATCAGACAATCACTATCACAATTTATTCTTCATTTTGGCTGTCATATTTTATTTTTCCCCAGTCAAATTATGTTGATTTTAAGTTATGGTTGGATTGTAATCTTATTTTGTATACAGTTGATTATATTACATCTATATATTCAAATTTTATTTCAAGGGGCTGTTCTTTCTGGCACCAATGCTACCCAAAAAGACGTGTGAAGAAGATGCCATTAAGACTTGGTTAAAGCTTGCACCAAAAAGATATAAAACAAAATATTCATATATCTTTTTTATCCTCAGTAGTAGTAGAATGTAATATTGTGTTAAATAAAAACAATATTCAACTTTGATTTTCTACTCACATTCTTTTTTTTTGTTAGACAGTGTCACAAAGTGAAAGGAACTATAAGAAAGTTATTAGTGAGGATCAGTCATTAGACTAGTTTGAAAGGAAGTTCAACAAATACTTAATAAAATAAATGCCTCTCGGGTTGTGGCTTCATCTCAACAACAGTGTTGTAGAGTCAGGTAATTCAAATTTTGAAATAACTTAGGATATTTTGAGAAATGTGAGACATTTAGAGCAAGATTTTGACAAAAGTGGTAATATTAAACAAGATCTATGCATCACCTATATGCGAGGTAGATTCTTCCGGCTCTAAGGACCCAAAAATACATCAATGCTTAATCTGATGCTCACAAAACGACTGTTTCATTCACTAAGATCATATTCAGGTAGAAAGCTAATATGCAATGAAATGTATTAAAACCTATCTGCTAAAGTTGTATCTATTTTCTTATTTATATATGTATATAAGTTAATATATAATCTTACCAGTATTCATTTACTTTTAGATCTCACATAAAATGTATGAGCAGATATAATGGTTTGTATTTAAAGCAATCGGTGAAATGCTGTTAACAAGACATATTTAGAACTAAAATGCTTACAACTTTTGACAAAAAATTAGAATACTCATGTTTTAAGGAGTTGTTATGATTATTCAAGTAGTTATTTCAAATAACATTACTATAGTATTAATCCTTCATTTTGTCCACCCTTACAATTCGAACCACATAGTTTAACTACTGTATATTGTAAACATTTCTTCCACCTCAGTTGCCTTCTTTAGTGCAATTACATTTGAAGGGTTGAGTGGATGAAGGTGGTAAGTAACATTTGGGTTAAAATGAGTTCAGTATATTTGGTGAAGGATATAAGTAAAATTCTGTCTTGAAAACTGGTTGTTGACAAGAACAGTTATTGTCCACAGTAGGACCATCCTGTTTTCAGGACAGAGTACTACTTCTAGGCTTCGCCAAATATATTGAACTCATTTTTGATCCATATATTATTCACCACCTTCATCCAGTTAATCATCACGTGAAATCGTCGTCAGACAGTGACGTCGATGCTATCTCACACTTCGACATTTCGCCCATAAATGCAACAGACTTTCCACGTTGAATAGGGCTGTGAATACTACATAAAGAGGTACGTACGTGTCACGTGTCCTTGCTGGCTGGGTGGCTGGGTAGTTCTCAACTTATAGGCGGTTATAAGATTAACGGACAGACCGTGTGGTATACGTTTTTCCACCTTGGTGCGCATACTAACCTAGGAGTAGATCACGCCATAAACATATTCGCCCCCCCCCTCTTTCGTAAAACGACATTTCTTCCAGTAAGTCATGTAATTTTAGCCAGAGCATATCTGCATACAAGTGTTTTGCCCTCTTGTAACCATAGGTCATCGTGCTTTTATTACTAGAAGAATTTTCAGCGGTAGTGTTGGAAGTACTGTCCGGGATGTTGGTTACCCTATTTTTCATTTGCTTCACCAAATTTATCTTTACCTTCACAGTTAAATATGCCGCGTTGCGTCGGTTGAACGTCGGCAAAGTTGCGCATTCATTTAAAAAAGAAAATGGCACTAAAAAGTTATGCAAGTCACTATATTTCCAGAGAAAGATGAAGAAGATTGAATTTTCCCGAAGTATTTTTTATTTTTTCTGCCTTTTCTTGAGGTTTCGTCACTTGTCCAATAATCTACTTTTTTAACGTGGATTTTTAAATAAATTGGACATTAATATTGTCATTTTTTATTCTCTTCAAGGTGATATAATTGGAATATCAATTTGAAGTTTCATCCCGATTAAAAAAGTGTGGGGTCTGAAAAGCTATGCTTTGATAAGCTCTTCCCTACACTTGGCGATGTTTTAATTTTCACTCTGGCTCAGAGCAATGTAAGCATAACGCCAATAATTGTCTAGGTATGGCATTCTAGGTACCCATTTTGGCGTACTTAAAGATTAGGTTCATGCCGTTATCAATATTTCCCCTCTCTATAAGGCTCCTGTCTCTGTCGTGTAAAGACCAGGGTAACATACTGTGCATATTTAATCGCATCGCCTAAAGCTTTCTTGTGTAGGTTCATGTTCGACTTGTAATATTCTAAGAAATCCATTCCGATAAGATGGCTGAATTAGATATCTAAATTATGAACGTTAATCTTGAGTGGGTTGATGTGAGCAGGATAGATAAGAAGGTATCTCATAAACGATAGATATCCATTAATAATACCACGAATGACTCTTTTTTTCAAGGAAACGACTATTATAGCGTTATCCGCGTTGAGAGATAATTGAGTTTTACGCTTTTGGTAAGTTTTACATTTAAATTTCAAATAAGGTATTTACTCATTTCCAATATGAAAAACGCCTGTAAATTTACATGCGTAATTAACTAACACCACCTTCGGCAATTAGGTTCAGCATGTTCATAAGCAGTATGTTACTGCAAAGATGATTCTAAATTGTGGAGAACCGCGGGACTGTAAGCGCGTTCAGATATAATTAAGGTAATAAGGTAATCGACATCCGAGCCATCCAATGACAATGTAGGATTGGCACGTACCTGGGTGTTCCTGTCGCCTGGTCTGGAGGAGCTCCTCTCTTTTCACAGCTTCTTCTTAGGTTCACCACACTTGCCTTCGCGGATATATTGTACCCGGTTTAACTAGGATTCTTTTGTCGAGATTTTGAAGACGACCGTTGCCTTTTCCAATCTTTACGAGATTGACTTCACGAAATCTTCTTCCTCTTGTGCGCATGTTTTACTTGTATGCGCACATGCCAAAAGGGAATTTAGTAGAATAAAGCTAAATAAAGTGAGTAAAGACATTACTTTCCTGGATAAGGTTCTTTTTAGCGATGAGGCAAGTTTTAACAGCATAGGTGTTGTCAACAGGCGACGGAAACTAATTACTGAGTTAGGAAAATAGATGTCCAAAATTGGGGAGGAGTTATTGTCAGACAAGTTATCGGGCCTTTCTTTTTCGACAGCAGATTAACAAGTACAGAATACTTGAATTTTTTTATCGAGCATTTGCCTTTGCTTTTGGACGATGTCAACCTACAAACTCGGATGCATGTGTACTTCCAACGTGACCGCGCACCTGCGCATTATCATAATCGTGTGCGTAACTATTTGGACACCTGGACCAACAATCATTGGATCGTTCTTTCTATGGAGCTACGTTAAGCAAAAGGTTTATAGATATCCACCATCTATCCCGGAAAATATGAAGGAAAAGATTAAGGATGCTTTTCTGAACATAAGGGCACACATGCTGAGGGATGTGCAACGGTGATTTATCCAAAGACTACGGCTGTGTATTCAACATGGCGGAGATATTTTCGAGCAGTTTTTGTAGATTAGGTCTTGAGTAGTGATAGTTGTTTTTTATGTTGTTGTTATAGTTGTTTTTCTCTTTTACGCTTGAAGCTGATTTATACTGTTCTGATTGTTATTAGTTTTTACATCAAACCTGTACTATTAGACCGCGGTGACTCTAGCAACAACGGCCAGCCAGCAACAAACGATAGTCCCTCTTCTCACCAGCGGCCGCGTCGCGCTGGACACCATCGCGCGTCGCTACAGCCGCGAAGCCGGCGCAGCGTAAGCAGGCGGTGCGGCACCGTCTTCCCATGTAAAACGGTGTTATAGTATCTACACAAAATTATATACAATGTGTGTTGTCAGTGTTATCACACTATCTATCACATTCCGTGGCCGAGGCATATTAAGCCTACCAGAGGGAGTGAAAGTTACCTATACGAAACTCACATGGAAATTTGAAAATTAAAATTCTCAATTTTTTTTCAAATCAACACCACTTTTTTTTCACGAAAATCAATTCTACAATGCATCCTTCATATCCGGGATCGATTACATCTCGTGGCCGGGGCATATTAAGCATACCAGAGGGAGCGAAAGTTACCTATACGAAACTCACATGGAAATTTGAAAATTAAATTTCTCAATTTTTTTTCAAATCAACACCACTTTTTTTTCACGAAAATCAATTTTACAATGTATCCTTCATATCCGGGATCGATTACATCTCGTGGCCGGGACATATTAAGCCTACCAGAGCGAGCGAAAGTTACCTATACGAAACGCACATGGAAATTTGAAAATTAAAATACTCAATTTTTTTTCAAATCAACACCACTTTTTTTTCACGAAAATCAATTCTACAATGCATCCTTCATATCCGGGATCGATTACATCTTGTGGCCGGGGCATATTAAGCCTACCAGAGGGAGCGAAAGTTACCTATACGAAACGAACATGGAAATTTGAAAATTAAAATTCTCAATTTTTTTTCAAATCAACACCACTTTTTTATCACGAAAATCAATTCTACAATGCATCCTTCATATCCGGGATCGGTTACATCTCGTGGCCGGGGCATATTAAGCCTACCAGAGGGAGGGAAAGTTACCTATACGAAACTCACATGGAAATTTGAAAATTAAAATTCTCAATTTTTTTTCAAATCAACACCACTTTTTTTTCACGAAAATCAATTCTACAATGCATCCTTCATATCCGGGATCGATTACATCTCGTGGCCGGAGCATATTAAGCCTACCAGAGGGAGCGAAAGTTACCTATACGAAACGCACATGGAAATTTGAAAATTAAAATACTCAATTTTTCTTCAAGTCAACACCACTTTTTTTCACGAAAATCAATTCTACAATGCATCCTTCATATCCGGGATCGATTACATCTCGTGGCCGGGGCATATTAAGCCTACCAGATGGAGCGAAAGTTACCTATACGAAAAGCACATGGAAATTTGAAAATTAAAATACTCAATTTTTCTTCAAATCAACACCACTTTTTTTTCACGAAAATCAATTTTACAATGTATCCTTCATATCCGGGATCGATTACATCTCGTGGCCGGGGCATATTAAGCCTACCAGATGGAGCGAAAGTTACCTATACGAAAAGCACATGGAAATTTTAAAATTAAAATACTCAATTTTTCTTCAAATCAACACCACTTTTTTTTCACGAAAATCAATTTTACAATGTATCCTTCATATCCGGGATCGATTACATCTCGTGGCCGGGGCATATTAAAACTACCAGAGGGAGCGAAAGTTACCTATACGAAACGCACATGGAAATTTGAAAATTAAAATACTCAATTTTTCTTCGAATCAACACCACTTTTTTTTCACGAAAATCAATTCTACAATGCATCCTTCATATCCGGGATCGATTACATCTCGTGGCCGGGGCATATTAAGCCTACCAGAGGGAGCGAAAGTTACCTATACGAAACGCACATGGAAATTTGAAAATTAAAATACTCAATTTTTTTTCAATTCAACACCACTTTTTTTTCACGAAAATCAATTCTACAATGCATCCTTCATATCCGGGATCGATTACATCTCGTGGCCGGGGCATATTAAGCCTACCAGAGGGAGCGAAAGTTACCTATACGAAACGAACATGGAAATTTGAAAATTAAAATTCTCAATTTTTTTTCAAATCAACACCACTTTTTTTTCACGAAAATCAATTCTACAATGCATCCTTCATATCCGGGATCGATTACATCTCGTGGCCGGGGCATATTAAGCCTACCAGAGGGAGCGAAAGTTACCTATATGAAACGCACATGGAAATTTGAAAATTAAAATTCTCAATTTTTTTTCAAATCAACACCACTTTTTTTTCACGAAAATCAATTCTACAATGCATCCTTCATATCCGGGATCGATTACATCTCGTGGCCGGGGCATATTAAGCATACCAGAGGGAGCGAAAGTTACCTATACGAAACGAACATGGAAATTTGAAAATTAAAATTCTCAATTTTTTTTCAAATCAACACCACTTTTTTTTCACGAAAATCAATTCTACAATGCATCCTTCATATCCGGGATCGATTACATCTCGTGGCCGGGGCATATTAAGCCTACCAGAGGGAGTGAAAGTTACCTATACGAAACTCACATGGAAATTTGAAAATTAAAATTCTCAATTTTTTTTCAAATCAACACCACTTTTTTTTCACGAAAATCAATTCTACAATGCATCCTTCATATCCGGGATCGATTACATCTCGTGGCCGGGGCATATTAAGCATACCAGAGGGAGCGAAAGTTACCTATACGAAACTCACATGGAAATTTGAAGATTAAAATTCTCAATTTTTTTTCAAATCAACACCACTTTTTTTTCACGAAAATCAATTTTACAATGTATCCTTCATATCCGGGATCGATTACATCTCGTGGCCGGGACATATTAAGCCTACCAGAGCGAGCGAAAGTTACCTATACGAAACGCACATGGAAATTTGAAAATTAAAATACTCAATTTTTTTTCAAATCAACACCACTTTTTTTTCACGAAAATCAATTCTACAATGCATCCTTCATATCCGGGATCGATTACATCTCGTGGCCGGGGCATATTAAGCCTACCAGAGGGAGCGAAAGTTACCTATACGAAACGAACATGGAAATTTGAAAATTAAAATTCTCAATTTTTTTTCAAATCAACACCACTTTTTTATCACGAAAATCAATTCTACAATGCATCCTTCATATCCGGGATCGGTTACATCTCGTGGCCGGGGCATATTAAGCCTACCAGAGGGAGGGAAAGTTACCTATACGAAACTCACATGGAAATTTGAAAATTAAAATTCTCAATTTTTTTTCAAATCAACACCACTTTTTTTTCACGAAAATCAATTCTACAATGCATCCTTCATATCCGGGATCGATTACATCTCGTGGCCGGAGCATATTAAGCCTACCAGAGGGAGCGAAAGTTACCTATACGAAACGCACATGGAAATTTGAAAATTAAAATACTCAATTTTTCTTCAAATCAACACCACTTTTTTTTCACGAAAATCAATTCTACAATGCATCCTTCATATCCGGGATCGATTACATCTCGTGGCCGGGGCATATTAAGCCTACCAGATGGAGCGAAAGTTACCTATACGAAAAGCACATGGAAATTTGAAAATTAAAATACTCAATTTTTCTTCAAATCAACACCACTTTTTTTTCACGAAAATCAATTTTACAATGTATCCTTCATATCCGGGATCGATTACATCTCGTGGCCGGGGCATATTAAGCCTACCAGATGGAGCGAAAGTTACCTATACGAAAAGCACATGGAAATTTTAAAATTAAAATACTCAATTTTTCTTCAAATCAACACCACTTTTTTTCACGAAAATCAATTTTACAATGTATCCTTCATATCCGGGATCGATTACATCTCGTGGCCGGGGCATAT